ATTCCTCAACAACACTGCTGATAGACACTGAGTAACGAAAGACTGCAGTTATGTAAGGAGAATCTGGAATCTGGCACCCTGAAGAGTTGCGTTTGTTATTCTGACATTTGCAAATAACACTGTTTGACTTTGTCTGCCATGTGTGACACTGTAAGGTATCTGTAATCTAAGAGAGCAGGAAACCTTGTACAGTCCTCCCAAGATCTAACTAATTAAGTGGAGGATTTGAAAGAAACACTGAAGCCAGTATTGTTCAAGTATGCATCAAATCTGATGATTCATTTCAAGGTGATTTGAGGACAAGCTATTTCTTGGCCAACATAGAGCTATCACTGGTTGTATTTATGACTTTGGGACCAAATGTGGATATCATTGGAAATGGTAGGATGGCATAAAAATAAGATCTCCACTCCAGAGACCATCTCATTCCTCAGTTTGGTTAGTTTGAATTTTGAAGTCAGGGTTTGACCATCTCTCTGTTGTTAACTCAAGTTGACACAGATTATTTATATGGAATCGAGGCAATGAGCCCTTAAATCTACAAAAGAACGTCTAAGATGTTGAGCAGAAAGAATGATGATGTTTTAGCAACAGTAATAGATCCATTCAGAATCTATCTCTTTGCGTGTTATAAATCTCATCACGGTGATTTGTCTCTTCAGATTGTTGCCAACTTGGCAACCACTTATTCTTTAAATAGTAAAATTTAGCTGGATTGTTCAGAGCTTCAGCTGATTGATAAATCATAATGTCTGTTTAGACAAACACCATGAGTCCAGGCTCACTTGTGCATTAGGTATGAGGGAGTCATTGACTGTTAGAGCTGTATTTTAGCTACCGAGGTGTGATCCTCAAGTCAGTAAGTTTCCTGACTCTCCAGACGCACTTCAGTAAAATGTGTCCTGATACTTGCAAATTTAATCCCAGTGAGGTGCAGGGGTGGAATGGAACTGAATCATTGACCTTGGAAATTTAACACAGGTGAATGCCCGAGATGGGCTAAGAGTAAAGTCCACTTCAAATTTCCAGACTTCAGTCTTAGTTGTTTCCAAGCTGATAGGCATCTAACCTCTTTTTTAATTTCAAAAATACACTTTATTCATAAAAAATCTTTATATACACATTGTCACAAATGCAGTTCTGTTCTATGAAGGAAACTAAACAAACAGTGGAGTTTGACTCTAACCAAAAAAAAGACCTCTCTTATACATACAATACTATATTTACATACCTTTGAGGCACTAGAAGGGTCTGATAACTGGATGGACTCTCATCTACCTTCAGCAGAAAAACCTCAGAGAGTGCTATTTCCCTGCTAACCTTGGCAGCAGATGTCCCAAGCTTTATGTGTTTCCCTCAGTACGTAGTCCTAGACCTGGGAACGTGCCAGTCTGCAACACTCAGTCGAGATCAACTCCTTGTTCTGGAAGATCAACAAGTTTTGGGCAGACCAAAGAGCATCATTTATTGAGCTGATGGTCCTCCAGGCACAGTCGATGTTTGTCTTGGTGTGTGTAACGGGGACACACCATAGAGCACAGAGTCCCGCATCATGAAGCTGCTCAGGACAAACCTCAACCAAAATCACTGCATCTTTCTCCAGACTTTCTTTGATAGGCATCAAGGCATCTTTGATAGGTGCTTAGGCGAGATGGCAGCAGGGTAACTCGCTCTATTCGGAGCTCCACTCTGCTCGCCAGTTCCCTATCCTTCACACTTTCTTTTTCTCATCTTCTTCTCTCTCCTCTCTGCAGTAATTCTATCCCCCCAAACCTCGCCCTCTTAACTACCTCCTTAAGGAGTCGGGTCGCGACCGGGAACCACGTGGCAGAAGCTGCAGGCGTGGGCTGTGTCCTGCAGAGACGGTAGATCGAGCGTGGGCCGGGGCAATGGCAGCGGATCAAGAGTGGGCTGGTTTGGTGGCGTGAGCAGGCTGGTGAGGCAGTGATGGCGAGAGCAGGCCGGGGAGGCAGTGGCAGCGAGAGCGGGCCGGGGAGGCAGTGGCGGCGTGAGCGGGCCAGGGAGGCAGTGACGTCGAGAGCGGGCCGGGGAGGCAGTGATGGCGAGGGCAGGCCGGGGAGGCAGTGGCGGCGTGAGCGGGCCAGGGAGGCAGTGACGTCGAGAGCGGGCCGGGGAAGCAGTGACGGCGAGAGCAGGCCAGGGAGGCAGTGACGGCAAGAGCGGGCTGGGGAGGCAGTGGCAGTGAGGGCAGGCCGGGGAGGCAGTGACGGCAAGAGCGGGCCGGGGAGGCAGTGACGGTGAGAGCGGGCCAGGGAGACAGTGATGGCGAGAGCGGGCCGGGGAGGCAGTGGCGGCGAGAACGGGCCGGGGAGGCAGTGACGGCAAGGGCAGGCCGGGGAGGCAGTGGTGGCGTGAGCAGGCCAGGGAGGCAGTGATGGCGAGAGCAGGCCTGGGAGGCAGTGGTGGCGTGAGCAGGCCAGGGAGGCAGTGACGGCGAGAGCGGGCTGGGGAGGCAGTGATGGCGAGGGCAGGCCAGGGAGGCAGTGGCGGCGTGAGCAGGCCAGGGAGGCAGTGGCGGTGTGAGCAGGCCAGGGAGGCAGTGACGGCGAGGGCAGGCCGGGAAGGCAGTGACGGCGAGAGCGGGCCAGGGAGGCAGTGACGGCGAGAGCAGGCCATGGAGGCAGTGACGGCAAGGGCAGGCCGGGGAGGCAGTGACGGTGTGAGCAGGCTGGGCAGACAGTGACGGCGAGAGCAGGCCGAGGAGGTGGCAGCAGCCGACGGTGAGAAGGGGCCTTTCGCATGGCGATGGCGGCCTCCTGGTTGTCCTAGCGATTGGAGCAGCGCCTGCACCAATGTGGAGATGGGACTTGGGATTCTTGAGATCTGGACATTTCTTTTACTTGCTTACCTTTTGGCCGTGTTAAAATCTTTTAATTCTGGTTTTTACAACCAAGTGGACACCAGTGAATGGTGACTTTGTGCACTTTTCACTGCACTTATGTATTCCTATACTTAGTACATGTGACAAATAAATAAATCTAATCTAATCTAATCTAATCTAACCTTCACACTCCATGACACAGCCAAACCAACCCCCATGGCTCCTCATTCAATTCAGGTCATTTCATGTCCCCTACCGATCACCATGCCCTCTCTTGGTTATCCTGTCATCTTTTTATCCACTCACTTAGTATCATTCATGAATATACCTCTGGAGCCATATAGAGATTTTTGAAAAAGTACATGTTTGACAATCCAAAGTAATCCTCATTCCTCCACATTGTAAATTAAAACTCTCCCATTCGTGAATATCCACTCAAATCACCTCTAGTGGTTAATCTCTTAAAACATACAAATATCGATTCAGACTCAGCATCAAAGACGGTTAATCCTTTAACAGCCTCGTTATATCATCAATCAACTGTGAACTCAAAGTCTTGCTGAGATAATAAAAGAACTGAGATAATAAAAATGCCTAGCATTCTCAATGACAAATAATGATTCTTGGGGAAATGCCAATATAAAGTTCTTTTCAAACTGTTGCTAACCTTTTTTCTAACCTATGCAAGTTAGCATGTCATTGAAAGCAAACTAGTGGAGGTTTGTTTTTAGGTCTCATTGTCAGCAGCAACCTTTGTAATGTTTAAAAAGTGAGAAATTAAAAGGACTTAGAGATCTACACCATAAATTGAAGACTCCCACATTGTGGTTTAAGGCCCTTGCAAAATCTAAAATGGGGTCTGTCTGAACTCAGCACCAAGTTTGAATGGCCTTGCTGTGTTTGCATTTCTAACCTGTATGAATCACAGAGCGCCAATTCCCTCTGCCAGAGAGAAAGTGGATCTGTTGGAAATGGGAGGGGACATCCCCATCTGTATCATAGAATTATAGAACCATAGAATCATATGGTACAGAAGAGGCACTTCGACCCATCAAGTCTCTACCACCAAAAATACATTACTATCCACACTAGTCCCACTGTCCTGCATTCCACCCATAGCTTTGAATGTTATGACACTTCAAATGTTGATCCAAGTAAAGGTCTGCAGAATCCTCTCAGCTTCACCAAAGTCTGGCCATTAAGGTATGAGGTTGTGGTGGAACGTATTTATTAGTTTTTGCTTGAACTGCCTTAAGGTGTCTATTGCCTCTTGGCTGAGTTTGATGCCTGGGATCGTAGAATGTGGTAATAGTTTTTATCAAATGAATGTCTGATTCTGATGAGCCATGAAATGTTACATTAAAAAGAATCTTCCAACATTGGTTTGGAATATGTGTGTGCTTATTTGTGTTTGTTGTGGGATGTGGAAGTTAAACTCATAAAGATATGAGCACCAATTTGCTTTGCGTCTGTATCTGCACCTTTGTGTATTGTCCCAGCGTACATGTCCGTGTGTGGGTGTTAGCCTGATTTGTATGTGTGACCATCAAACTGATAAACCTCTGGACAAGTCAATTTGTTATGCCCATGTGTATGGACATCAGTGTGCCAAGTGCATGCCAGTTCGGTGTGCACTGTGAGTGTCAGTTTGGTGTACACTTAAGTGTGCCAGTCTTCTGAGTACATGTGTACACATTGCTTTGGTGTACAATGGTGGGTATATCAAAATAGTCTGGATATGTCAATTTGGAATGCACATGTGTACATCACCCTGGTGTGCCTGTATATCTACATCAGCAGGGTGTGCTTGTATATTGGTGTACTGTGTACATCAACTTGGTGAGTCCGTACATCAGCATCTGTGTACTTCAGCCTGGTATGCCTGTATATTGGCATTCTGTCTACATCAGCCTGATGTGTCTGTATATCAGTACATGGTGTACATCTGTGTTAGTTTGGTGTGTGCATCAGTCTGATCTGTGTTTACCTGTGTCAGCCTGTTGTCCACCTGTGTGTATCAGTCCTCTGGCTGTAGCTGTGCGTCAGTCTGATGTAAGCATGTGTGCACCTGCATGTCAGTCTGGTGCCGATTTTTCTGATGTTTCTTTGTGATTTTGTGTTCGCTATTTTCACAGGCCACCTTCATCTCTTGTTGCAGATGAGCAGCAAGCGCTCGAGCAGCTTCCGGCGAGCGATTTCCAATGGGCACAGGAACCTACCGCGTGAATTCCTGCTGGACGAGCCGGGACTAACCTTCTACAAACGTTTGGTGAGGCATGTCGCGTACGAGATCCTGCCCTGCGAGTTGGACAGGCGTTGGTACTATAGCCAGTATCGTGGCTGCCCACCACCTCTCTTCATGACGGTCCTCACAATCATTCAGGTGATTATCAGGTTTGGAACAAGATCTTTCAAAATAGGGCCTCTTTCTTTGTCCCTCGTAATCACTCCAACTGATTCATTGGAATTTGACAATAACAGGAAAGATATTCACAAGGCCATTGTTATAAACTTCTGAAATCTACGCTCTCTTTTTTTGTGTGTAAAGTGAAACATTCACCGTTTCCTTACATACAAGATATTATGGGATGTCGGAGGCAATTGGTCTTTCAGATGGCATCCATAGGACACACAGGTAAAGGAAACAGCGTGGAGAAACTCAGTGGGTCGGGCAGCATTTGCGGAGAGAAAGTTTTCTTAGACCTGCTGAGATTCTCCAGCAATTTCTTTTTCTGGTTCAGATTTTCAGCATCCACAGTCCTTTGTTTTATTTATACAAAGAAAATAGTTAATATTTTGGCTGGTGATCGGCACAAACTGATCTGAACTCTTCATCTTTTGTCATCATTTCCTGCAATTCCAAATTAATTAGAAAAGGTGATTATATTTTTTAAATTCACTTGTGGGACTTAGTCGTCTCTGCCTGGGCCAGCATTTATTGCCCGTCCCGAGTTGCCCTTGAGAAGGTGATGGTGAGCTGCCTTCTTGAACCGCTGCAGTCCATATGCTGTAAGTTGACCCACAATGCCATTAGGGAGGGAACTTCCAGGATTTTGACCCAGCGACAGTGAAAGAACGGCGATATATTTCCAAGTCAGGATGGTGACTGGCTGAGAGAGGACTTTGCAGGGGGTTATGTTCCCATGTATCTGCTGCCCTTTTTCTTCTAGATGGAAATGGTCATGGGTTTGGAAGGCGCTGTCTGAGGGTCTTTGGTGAATTTCTGCAGTACATCTTGTAGATAGTACACACTGCTGCTACTGAGTGTTGGAGGGAGTGGTCGCTTGTGGATGTGGTACCAATCAAGTGGGCTGCTTTGCCTTGGATGGTGTCAAGCTTCCTCAGTGTTGCTGGAGCTGCACTCATCCAGGCAAGTGGGAGAAAATATGAGAAATTAGTGTGTGATTAACTTTGCAGGTGTTCTCATCATGAGGCCATATCAGTGTCTAAGTTTTCATCTTCCCCGACGTACATAGCTGTTTGTTGGTAACCACTTTACAAAATAGTAATGGATGAAGTCTGGGAGAAAGTTTTTACACTAGACAGTAAAAAAAAGTAAATTTGCTAGCATTGCAAAGGACTGGTCTCTCATTAGAGAGCGATAACTGGTGGTGATTTTACCTGAGGAGCACTACATCCAGGGCAAGGGGCAAGAATGGCTTGAAAACATTGCTTCTGAGAACCTCATACAGAGAGATGTGAACACAGCTCAGTCCATCACGCAAGCCAACCTTTCATCCATTGACTGCAGCGAAACTTCTCACTGCCTCGGGAAGGCAGCCCACCCCGTTTATAATCTCTTCCAACCCCTTTTGTTGGGCAGATGATACAAAAGCTTAAACACACATACCAACAGTTTCAAGCTCAGCTTCTTCCCCGCTGTTAATAGACTTCAGAATGGACCTCTGAATGGAATTTAATGTTGATCTTGCTCTTTGTGCACTTTCTCTGCAGCTGTAACATTGTATTCCTTGCTCTGTTCTATTACCCTAATGCATTTTGTATAGTATGATCTGCTATACTGCACACAAAACAAAACTTTTCACTGTACCTAGGTACATGTGACAACAATAAATTGAATCAAATCAAATCAAATAAAATCATCCATGTCTTTGTTACGTCCAGACTTGAATATTCCAGTGTACTCCTGGGTGGCCTTCAATGTTTTACCTATGGAAACAGGAGATAATCCAAAACTCTGCTGCCCTTTGCTCACACCAAATCCAGTTCACCCATTACCCCTATGCTGAGTAACTGATAATGGCTCCCAGTTTAGCAGCACCTCAACTTCAAAATTCTCACCTCATTTTAGAATCCTCCCATGGCCTCACCCCTCTCTATCTCTGCATGCTCCTCCACTTTTCAACCCTCTTGAGATATCAGAACTCCTCCAGTTCTGACCTCTTGAGCATCTCAACTGCGAGATTGGTAACCATGCCATCAGGTGCCAAGGTCTACAAACTAGACATCCCCTTGCTAAATTTCTCCACTGGTCTTCCTCTTATTCCTCCTTTGTGAATGTCCTTGAAGCGTAATGCTTCGACAAGACTCTCAGTCATCTGTGTTTATGTGACTTGGTGCCAGGAAGTGAGCCCCTTCTGCTGGTGTCACTCTCGCATCACAAGACATCTGTCCAGCCAACTGAGCTAACTGACCCCCTCTAGAAAGTGGAACATGCCTGAAGAAAAATATTAATCTTCAAAGTAATATTAAGTACCATAGCTCCTACTAGACCACTGAACTGCTATCTCAGCAGAGGGCGATAACTGGTGGTGGTTTAACTCGAGGGTCACCACACTTCACAGAGAGTCCCACCATGGTAACCTCAGGCAGTGTAGAGATTGAGGCAATGTTGCTAGCATCACTCTGCACAATAAACCAGCCATCCAATGAAGTGAATAAAACCAAAAGGACTGCAGATGCTGTAAATTGAAGCAAGGAAATTGCTGGAAAAGCTCAGCAGGTCTGGCAGCATCTGTGGAGACAAATCAGAGTTAACGTTTCGGGTCAAGTGTCCCTCCCACAGAACTTCTGTTTTCTGCTTTTGTATTCGACCAAGTGAGCTAACTGACTGTCAATATGCAAAGTAACTCATAATGATATGCAAACTAGAGATGTAGCATCTTTTCATAAATAATTTGTTTCAATTTATTTATCTAAAGATATTGTCCTGCTCGTAACAATTTATTTTTCAATCTGAAATTTGTAAGCAGCTGGTTTAATTTGTGTAGGATTTTTGTTTGAACACTGAAGAAGCAGAATGCTGTAGTTCTTAATTATGTTTCTCTTTCAGATTGTTATATTCATCTGCTATGGAGCCATGCTAAATAAGTGGGTTTTACAGACCTATCACCCAGACTACATGAAGAGTCCTCTTGTGTATCATCCTGGACACAGGGCTCACGTCTGGAGGTTCTTCACATATATGTTTATGCATGCTGGGTAGGTTGGACCACATTTGATTTGTGTCTTGAATTGAAACGTTCATAAACACCAAAACTCTGAAAATGTTTATAACTAGAGGAATGGCCGTGGCATCTACAGATAAAGGGTTCCATTTAAAGTGCGATAGAATACCAGGTAAAACTTTAGGGTAAAAGTTCGGCACAACATAGTGGGCCGAAGGCTCTGTACTGTGCTGTGCTATTCTATGTAATACCAGAAACTCAGGAAGGCCTTGAATTTGCGAATAGTGTGATATGGGCGATAGGGAGACAGGATCGCATTAAATATCTCCGTCTTTTTATTTTCATTGAGTTTATGAGGATAAGCTCGGTTACAGCATCCCTGGTGGAGTGGAACTGCTGAACATACTGCTTTTCTTTTAATTCCTGTGAACACATGTGGTAAGACCTCAGGCACTCGCCCTTTCTCTGTCTATTTCCTACAGCAACTGAAGGCCCCTCACACTGAAGATGGGGCAGTTGTGCAGCAATAATGTCATCGGACTAGCAATCCAGAGGTCCTGCCTAATGTTCTGGAGATGCAGTGGCTCAGTGGTTAGCAGGTCTGCCTCACAGTGCCAGGGACCTGGGAACAATTCCAGCCCTATCTGCGTAGAGTTTGCATATTCTCCCTGTGTCTGTGTGGGTTTCCTCCCTCAGTCCAAAGATGTGCAGGTTAGGTGGATTGGCCATGCTAAGTTGCCCATAGTGTCTAGGGTGGGAAATGTGGGGATGAGTCTGGGTGGGATGCTCTTTGGAGGGTCGGTGTGGACTCAATGAGCTGAATAGCCTGCATCCACACTGTAGGGATCCTATGTGGGTTTGACTGCCCTGAAGGGAAATTTGAATGAACATCTGGAATAAAAGCTAGGCTAATGGTAACCACTGTCAATTGTTGCTTTAAAAGAAAACATCTGGATCACTAAGAGATAGTAAGAACTGCCGATGCTGGAGTCAGAGATAACAAGGTGTAGAGCTGGAGGAACACAGCAGGTCAGGCAGCATCAGAGAAGCAGGAAAGCTGACGTTTCAAGTCAGGACCCTTCTTCAGAAATGGGGAGAGGGAAGGGAGCTCTGAAATAAATAGAGAGGAGGGGTGGGGCTGGGGAAGGTAGGTGGGATGGTGATAGGTGAGTGCACGTAGGCAGTGGTGGGGATTTGTCAGCTCCTCCTACCTCACTGACCAATCCCCACCACTGCCTACCTGCACACATCTATCACCATCCCACCTACCTTCCCCAGCCCCACCCCTCCTCTC